TACCACTCAAAGACGCCCAACCATAGGGAGGGACGCCCAACCATAGGGAGGGACACCCAGCTTTAACTGATAAAAATGGAGAAAAATGGGCAGGGACAACCCTATCCCTAGGGTCGAACATAGTACTTGAAAAGCCCTCAAAAAACCCCAACTGTTGGGGTGCAACTGGCAAGGAGCCGAGTTGACAAAATTTAAGAAATCACACTCCAACTGAATAAAGGGAAGGCATACGCCTAAATCCCGGAAGAAACACTGGTACATGTAAAAAAAAGGAGGGTCAGAGGCACTCCCCATATCAACACGCTCACCAGGCTGACAGGGTTCAAGCCGGATAAGCTTGGAAATGGAAGGTTCACAAATCCTATGCGATTTTCGCATCACATTAATCTCCATGAACGACCTGAAGACGCTCTGGAATTCCCCAACGTCACCCCTGACCCAGTCGTAGCCAGGGATGACCGGGAAGGGTTCCTTAGGCTGGCCCCCCCCCCCCCTTTTTCTTTTCGGACGCGGCCGTCTCGGCGGCCACCGCCTTGTCGCGCGCCTTGCCTTTACCCTTGGCAAGCGCAGAAGGAGCGGCATCACTGTCATCAAGAAGGACAAAAGATTTTGGAAGAAGATGAAAAGATTTGGGAAGAAGGAGAAGATTGAGAAATCGAAGTACCTGGTACCCCTTTGACAAACGAAAGAACAAGAATGAAGGATGAGAACTCGATTGCTGGAGAAGGCGACGGAGGAGAACGGAGACAAGGAAAGAAAAGACGGAGAATGAGCAGAGAAAAATGAGAAGGCGTCGAGAGCAAGACAGAGGGAAATGAGTAAAGTGAAAGGGGAGAGGGCGCGAGAGAGAGAAAAGGAATTTGAGAAATTCAAACGGCCATGACACGTGTCAACCAGGAGACAACAACACTGACGACACATTAAATGAAGCCCATTATGACGAGCAATACCATCATTACGTAACCGTCATTCCCATTTATGCGCTGCCCACGCGTTTCGGAACGCGAAGCGATAGTTGTGACACATGGCAGCACAGCAGAGAAGCGTACACGAAGGGTTGCGACCCCCTACCGAGCTCGGCATTAACTCCTTGACCCACGGTCTTCGGAGCTCGGGGGGCTAGTGTACTATCCGTACCGATATGCCGAGTTCGAGCTCGGCATCTCAGCGCGGAGTGACCTCGGACACGCACTAGGCCACGTCAGCCCGACATCCAAATAGGTCATAAACTGATCTCAAACCCAAGGCCCAACGAAACCCTAATTCACACAAAGGTACGTGCATTACTTATACGAGACTCATACACCCACAAACACTAACTTTAGCATCGGAGTCTCTTTTGCAGGTATCACCCCCATCTTGGAGCAACACGCGTACCCGGCAAAGGAGGCTCACCAATCTTGCCCAGCAGATCGTCCCTACGACCGATCTCTGGTAAGAACACTTTATATAAAAAAATAGTTTAATTTTCTTTCCTATTTTTTTCTTTTAAAATTATTTATTGAGGAACTTATTGATCCATACCCTAAATCATTTGATTTGATGAGACATAAAAGAAGTGCATTAATTTAAATTAATAGGTCTATGTTTCACAGTACCCGCACAAATTGTGCTAAGCTAACCACCTACTTAAGTGAGTAAGTGAGAAATTCTACCACCTACCTCTTCAATATATAGAGTGTGATTGGTCATAGATATTAAACAATATTATCTCATATTAGACCCTGCAGTTTTATTTGGAAGAAAAATAATCTAAACACTCGAGTGCTATACGTCATTTAGAGTGAGGAAATAAGAGAAGAAAAAATATATAAATATAATACATAATATGATATAATAAATAAATAAATATAATAATAATAAATATTAATAAATACTTGATATATAAGAGTGTAATACATTTTGTAACTCTATTTTGAAATAAAAGATCTATGATAATGAGTAAATTTGAGATTGGTTTGCTAAGTCCATTGCCTACCACATGGAATAAAAATAGATCAGCAACTATGACTTGAGATTTGTGGATATTATTTCTTTATTTTCAAGTGGATATGCATTTCAATGCTGTCACGATGGCTGATTGAATTTGTTAATAAAAAAATACAAAGTGCCGCCCGTGGCAGTGTCCGAAGCGAAGTTGCCCAGCAGCTCTCATTAGACAACATTTTATTGACCGAGCCTTTCGCCTATCGAGTATATAACATTCAAACTTGAAATAAAATACGTGGCACGACATCTTAGACCAGATGCGTAGTAGGTGAAGCAGAAAGACTTTCAAAACAAGAAGCATTTTTAAATATTTAATTTATTTTAAATTTAAAATGACAACTCTTCTTGTCCTTGTTCGAAGTTATTGTTCAGTATATTATTACTAAAACCAAAGAAATAATCCGGTAAATGACAACTACTTGTATTTACTTAAAACAAAATTAAAAGCTATGAAAGAATTCGTTGTCATTTAATTTTGAGTGTTAGATATTATGAGTGATTAATTTTGAAACCTTGGCCCACAAAGAATGAAGACAAGAATTGCCTCGGGTGTACTGTCAATCATTTGATTATAAAAGGAAGCGTTGCAAACCTGTTTCCACAGGCCAAAAAACATCCTGGTTCATTAGATTCGAATTCGGGATTTCACTCTCTTCCTAGTTCCAACACAACACCGAGGATAAACAAAGAGAAACAGCACCATGTTGCTGGAACTTGCACTCGGTTTATTGGTGATAGCTCTCCCTATGGTTGGGCGTCCCTCCCTATGGTTGGGCGTCTTTGAGTGGTAGTAAGGCTGGGGGACTGTTTTCTCTTTACTCCCAGTCTTACAAAAATTTCAAACAAGAGTTCTTTCGGGTTGCGCTTGTCGCCACCCGCCGAAACGGACATTGGCATTCGCGACGATGGTCGGACTCTTTTTAAGTTTTGAAAGATGATGGATTGTTAGAACGACTTATTCTCAAACTGAGACCTCATCGAACTAACAATTTTGTTTAAATGACTCTCACCGATCCATGTTAATCCCAAGCGGGACCCTCCATGGATTAGTGGTTTTCGTAAAAAGAAGGGTTCTTGGAGTCGCCACCAATATTTTACTCAAAACATTGGAAAAAGATATAAGGCAATTGATTTTCATAAATCAACCTTGGCCATTACAACCAGAGTCGGGTAAGGGAGTCGATTACGTGCGAGGAAGGTGTTAGCACCCCACAACGCCCCTTTCGGGTTCCCTATGACGGATTATTTCATAAATAACAATGTAAAATTACTAAATTACCCCTATTTATTGGAAACGATTATAGATTAAATATTTACATGATGAAAGCTCTAAACATGCAATGCGACAATCAAAAATCAATAAAAGCGGTAAAAGAAAGGATTTAGAAAGAAACCTCCGAAGCGGGCTTTTATATATATCAGAACAACGTTAGGAGGCTTTTTGGCGCTCCTTCCCACTACACGTCCGCTCGCTCCTTTCCCCTAAAGACAAATTTTTACTATGGAAATCAAAGAGATTTCCCTTCGACTTGTTCGAATCTCAAGCTAATGGCTCATGACTCAAGAACTTCGTCGGATCGGCTCCCGGAGAGATATCTAGGGCAGAGAAAAGCTCAAAAACCCAAGAATACTCAGTAGGAGGGTTGAGGAATGTGTAAAAAGTGTGGAAGGACGTGCCAATGACGTCCTATTTATAGGATTGAGGCGCAATACGGCCTGGGAGGTCAATACGGCCCGTACTGGGTTTTTGAACTACAGTACGGCCGTATTGAATTTGGTACGGCCGTACTGAAGTTCAAAAACTTCAGTACGGCCGTATTGAGTTCACTACGGCCGTATTGCAGTTCAAATGGCTCAGTACGGCCGTACTGAACCTCTGGGAGGGTGTATTGAGCTCCAATCCTCGCACACCCTTATTCTAAGCTACTCTAAGACTTCTAGACCTACAAAGAATCATCCTAGGGTCTTCCAGGAGTCCTTCCGGCTGACTTTCCTTCGGTCTTCGAGAGTCTTTGAGCTTTATTTCCGACCCGGACAATTTTAGGGGTCTACAGCTGCCCCCCCTTTACTTAGTCGAACGGCTTTTTGGTGTACCGGTTGACAAGTAAAGGAGTTGACCCAATTGTCCGGGGAGTAAGCCATCCTTCCGACTTGTAGTGTCTTCCGGTGGGAAAATTGTTGAGTGGCCTCTCCAGGTTGAGTATTAGTCGTCGCCTCTCCAGGCTCGTGCATACCTCGGTGTTTCTGACAACCTCGGTAGCGTGAGTTTGCCCTCTCCAGGGTCTGCAT